CCCCTTTTTTTTTTTTTTTTCTGTTCCCCGGCTAATCTACTGCTCTGTATCATTCCACTAGTAACGGATTTCCCGGAGGAGAAGTTTTTTTTTTGTTTTTTGTTTTTTAAACAAAAGGGCCCAGTGCCCAAGGCTTCAATTATGAGATTGATTACAACACTTATACGCACGCCTTTAACTTAAAGTTTCTGGTTCTGCCTCAGTTGAGTCTTCTAGCCCCTTCTGGCTTTTTTTTTTGGAGTGAATTTGTTTTTTTTTTAAGAGAAGAGTCATATTATACAAGCCGGGAAACGGGCCCGGCGTCCCTCACATGTATGCTGGCGGCTCCCCGTTATGACCGAGGCATCACCGGCCAAACCCATATCAGGAATCGCTGAGTCCCAAAAAGGAAGAAAGCAAGAAAATAACTTTCGTTTTCTGTACTGCGTAGATGGGTTTTTTTTTTTTGGCAGCCCGTTCTGATTTCGTTTTTTTTTTTTTTTTTTTTTTTTTTTTTTTTTTTTTTTTTTTTTTTTTTTTTTTTTTTTTTTTTTTTTTTTTTTAATTTATGGCGGTTTCTGGTTTTGTACTCGGTTGAAGTCTTGTAGCCCATTCTGGTTCCTGGTTTTGCCTTTTGCCTCAGTTGAAGTCCTGTACTACAGGACTTCAACTGAGGACAGGACTTCAACTGAGGCAAAAGGCAAAAACAGGAACCAGTTGTGGTACGCATTGTGACCTTGTGCTGGCTCTGAGGTGAATACGCATTATAATGACCGGGCGTTCTATTCGGGTGAAGACGGTAGTGGCCCTGATGGTTGGACGCAAGGGGTCTTGAGGAAGTTGTTCCAGGGTTTGACCTTTTTTTTTTTGTTTTGTTTTTTTTTTTCCCCAAAAAGGGTCTGAAGTTTGAACTTTACAGCTCCGAGTTTCCTTTTTTCAGAGCTCCATCATTCATCCGCTCTGGGGCCAAGACCCACTAGCAGCGTTTGAGCTACCTCAACGCCCGAATCTGGACGTGTTTGTGGAGACGTGCAGTTCAGGAAACTCAACACCATTTTTGCACATCTCCGCAAAAGCGTCCAGATTCAGGCGTTGAGGTAGCTCAACGCTGCTAGTGGGACCAGACGTGCAGTTCAGGAAACTCAACACCATTTTTGCACATCTCCGCAAAAGCGTCCAGATCCAGATTCAGGCGTTGAGGTAGCTCAACGCTGCTAGTGGGACTTGGCCCCTGGTTCGGTTTTAGTCTTGGCGGGTTTTACGGTTTTAGTCTTGGCGGTTTTTCTTTGTCCCGGTTTTAGTCTTGGCGGGTTTTCTTTGTCATGACCCCCCTCGATTATCTTAGCTACCGGCTTCCTCTGAACACAACGCACCCTCATCATGGCTGTACCGCACTAGAAACGTAGCTTGTATACGTTCATGGTTCATTATCAGGGTTCCCTCTATTATCTTAGCTACCGGCTTCCCCCGAACACAACGCACCCTCATTATGGTTGTACCCAACCAGAAACGTAGCTTGTATACATTCATGATTCATTATCAGGGTTCCCTCGATTATCATAGCTACCGGCTTCCCCCGAACACAACACACCCTCATCATGGCTGTACCGAACCAGAAAGGTAGTTTGTACTGATACCACGCCCTAGCGTGGGGGCGCAGCCAGGACGGCGGTGGCCCGGCGACCAGCCCAATTCCAAGGTAAAAAAAAACAGAAAAAAAAAAGGAAGATGGCCATGTATCTTTCCATGTTCTAACGAAGGATTCAGTCTCAACTGGGCCCGTTTGGAATGAAATTCCAAGGTAAAAAAAAAAAACCTAAAAAAAAAAAAAAAAAAAAAAGATGGCTATGTGTCTTTCCATGTTCTAACGAAGGATTCAGTCTCATTTTGCACGGTCGGAGTTTCCACATTCGCATTAGAATTAGAAAAGGCAAAAAATTTGGGAAATCGTTCAAATCGAGGCGAGCTGGGGCCAAGTCCCACTAGAAGCGAGCGTGTTGTGCAGTTCAGGAAACTCAACACCATTTCTGCACATCTCCGCAAAAGTGTCCAGATTCAAGCGTTGAGGTAGCTCAACGCTGCTAGTGGGACTTGGCCCATGGAGAGAGGGCAACAGAAAATCGTGGAGGAATGCCCAAAAAAAAGGCAAAAAAAAGGGGCAAAATGGGACCGAACACTTCCCTAGAATGAGGACAGAAACATTGCCATATTTTGCCAGACAAAACCAAAAACTTGTCGGAAAGGCCAGATAATCACCATGAAAAACTTTCCCATTGTAGAAAGGATGGAACGACCAGACCCGCACCACCATTTCCCACGACCGCCGCCGGGTTCCCTCACAAGACTACCAGTCGGTGCCCGGTTGGCGACCGCAACCCTATTAATCCCGCAAAGATGCCCTCTAAACCCCTTTACCCGGTCCACGACATTCCCCATATGGAAACCGCCCGCTAAACGACAAAAGACATAGGTCTATACGCAGCCATCCTGGCTGCGAATACACTGATACCACGCTGGGAGTGGGGGCGCAGCCAGGACGGCGGCCCACAGAAAACCAAAAAATGAAAACGCCGCCTCAGTGCACTCGTCCCCACCGGACCCTAAAGCTAGGTTGTATACATCCTGGCTGCGAAAACGCATCCATCTATACGTCGAGAAGTAGAGGAAGGCCCAGAAAAAGGCCACACATAAATAGAGGAAGGCCCAGAAAAAGAACAGAAACGAAACCTACATGCATCTAACCGCAACTCTGTCCCACCCCAGACATTCCAAAAGAAAAAAGTCAAAAAACAGAAACGAAACCTACATGCATCTAACCGCAAGTGGGTCCACCCCCAGACATCTAGCCTCAACTCAAAACAAAAAGTGAAAAAACAGAAACGAAACCTACATGCATCTAACAGCAACTCTGTCCACTTTCCCCAAAAAAAAAAAAAGAACTCCGTCCACTCCGAGACGTACGTACAAAAAAAAAGTAACACTGCATCTTCCCATGTTCTAAAGAAGGATTCAGTCAGTCTCATTTTTCACCGTCTGAGAGTAGCACGGCCTCCATCGATCTCCCAATGTAACGAACGGTCGGATAACATGTCGACGCCCTATACCCACTTACACCTATTTTTTAGGCCTAGTTGCACGACTCTACAACATCCTACAACATTGTGAATGCAGCTGGACAACGTAGCTGCCTCGGTGCACTCGTCCCCACCGGACCCTAAAGCTAGGTTGTATGCATCCTGGCTGCAAAAACGCATCCATCTATACACATCCATCCGAATTCATTATTAGGGTCTGTTATGTTCGGGGGATGACAGTAGGTTTCTCCAGGGTAGTCCCCTCCGCCACTTTCGTTGAAAGAGGTCGTTTTTTTATTTTATTCTTTTTATTTTTTATTTTTATAAAGAGGTCGTTTTTCTGCTTCCAGTGGAGTTAGAACTCAGGTCTGTACTTCAACAGTTCAAGGGCCAAGTCCTACTTACCCGAATGATCGATTTCTGACCGCAGATTTGGAAGATCAACGACCAGAAATCAAGGATCAGCGTAAGTGGGACTTGGGGCCCGGGGGGGATGTACCAACTGAGATCTTAATGCTGGTATCTCATTCCTTTTCTGATCTGCTGCTCTTGCCATTCTTCCTCTTCTTCTTCTTCTTTTTTTTTTTTTTCAAACACGCTAGGTGATGCTAAGAGTGCTGCGTCATTCGAGTTTCTTCCTATTATTCCTTCTGTTCTTATCTATTGATCTTTTAGGCTTTTCCATTTCGAAGCACATTTCTGTGGCCAGATTGTCCAGCGGCCGTTGCCAGACAGCTCAGGTCCGAGAGAGTCATTCCCGTACCCTGAGGGAGGGAGAGGGGGAAAGGGGGGAGGGGGGAGGGGGGAAGGGACATGATGGCCCCATCGAGGAAGATCGCTGGTGCCAAGGCCAATGCATAACCCCTGTGGTCTATTTGCAGAGTGCAGTCTTACCATCTGCACAGCCTGGGCCGTGGCCCCGCTAGCAAAGGGGATAGGATAGAAATCGTGAATCTGGCTATGTTTTACGCAGAGATATAGAAAAGTCCTATCTCGATTTCCTGCTGCTGTCCTCAAACACGTCCAGATTCAGGCATTCAATCTGTATTTGAATGCTCTTTGCTAATGGGACCGCAGCCCTGACTACCTCTGGGCAAACAATAGAAACTAAGTTGTATTTGAATTTTGAATCTGTTTCTCTGTATTTCCCTGACATGATGTATAGGGTGACAGACAGAAATTGCACCAAAAAAAAAAAAAAAAAAAAAAAAAAAAAAAAAAAAAAAAANTTCAGGCATTCAATCTGTATTTGAATGCTCTTTGCTAATG